CCTGCTGAGGGCAGAAATGTGAGCTCGGTGGAATTCATTACTCCCTTTTTCTGAGGTCCTGCTTTTGAGCTTTATCCAGGAGCTCACATTTGTTCTGATCCATGTTTGTCACAGGGTATGGAACAGTAAGTCCAAGACATACGAATTACTTGTTAACTTGAAGATAATCGTGAAGATAAAGAGAGTCTTGAAGAATGTGCCGTCATGAGAAAGATCTTTCCTCTGGTTTGATAGTAATGTGTGTGAGCTGACACAGCCTCGTTGCCATGTTTGAGTGTTTTCCTGTCTCATTAGAAATCAAAGCAAGATATTGAAGACGAGGGACATGCAACGTGTCAGAAGGATGGGATTGGTGGGAATGTCAAGTTGTGCCGCCTGCAGCCACTGCTGGAAGTGCCCATCCGAGAGGCTGAGGCACAACCCTTCGAGGTGCTCATGCAGTTTCTGTATACGGATAAAATAAAATACCCTCGCAAAGGTAGGACAGCAAGGTAAAAAAAAAAATAGTGGCAACTGGGGAGCAAACATTTCTTTTGATACAGAGCAGGGTTGAGCATTTGCAGATGATCAATCCTGCTCTAAGCACTTAATTACTTACCTGAGATTAAAAAAAACCCCAACAAACAGATTTCTGTCAAAGCATACTAACAGTGCTTTGTTTTTTCCTAATTCTTTTCAAACATAAAGGAAAAGCAGGTTCTTGATCATTCCAAAAGGTGTAAAAAAACCCAAACAAACAAACAAAAATTTTGTGGTATTTTGAACATTACAGCAGCCTGCCTGGGAGGACCATGTATCCTGGGTTGGCTTATTTCCTTTTTCTGGTACTGTTTTGATCTGCTGCAAACCAAGCCCACACAGAAAGGCAGAGCCAAGCCAGTATTTACCATCTCTTCAAAATGCCAGTCCAAAGGAATGCCTCAAGAAAGGAGAAATCCATTTGATGCGCTCACTGAAGATCCCTGAGTTAAAAACCCTTGGAGGCTGGGAGGTAATAACTAGAGATCTCTCAGCTCCCACACAGCAAATCTAACTCATGACCATGTTGGGCTGTGGGAGTCAGACTGGATACCGAGGGGAAGCTCCGACTGGTGGGGCTGGGGAAGCTGCAGCCACATGGCACAGTTGGGCAAAGGGAGGTACGTCTATCCTAACGCTGAAAGCTTTGCTTCGGCTTCAGTCCAGAATTTTTCCTTTTTATAAAAAAAAGTAATTCTCAGGAAAATAGTGATTTTTATGCAGTTGTCCCAAGGCTTTCCCTGCAAGGTGCCCTGTCTGAGACCAAGCCTAATTAATGGGGACGAGGGAACCTTCTCACTGGTGTCTGCTGACATTGCCAGATCGCATTCTCAGCCAGTTCAGTGTTCCTCAGCATGCTCACCTCAGGACAGGATCAGACCAAGGAAAGGGTTATCAGAGTGAGCTCTTCCCTTTGTTATAGGCTTCCCAGGCAGCCTGCTACCCTTGCTCCAGCCCATCAAATGTTTTCCCTGGTGCTTACCTTTCTGGTGGGATCCTCCAATGGCCCTGTCCTGACAATTTGTATTCTTAGTTGCTCCTCTCAGTTCAGAGAGCAGCACCTTGGGGATCCATCCAGAGGCTGAGCTAATAGAATTGGGCATGCTTATCAAATGGGATTTTCTGATTAGACACAGGGAAGGCACGTGACATGCAAGAAGGCTTTTCCCCGTCAAAAAGTAGTTACAGCAGATGGCCAGAGATCTCCTGTCAGGAAAGCAAAGGCTGTGGAGGATTATTCCTTGAGTTGGTGTCCCAGTAGCCCCACTGCAGTGGCCTACGAGGGCCCCCACTGCCCTTCTCTTACTTCAGCCCTCTCTTCTAGACCAGCCTCAGATCTGTACACACACAAGCACAGAGTGCCTTCATAAGGATCTGTCAAAATCAGGGAGCTGATTGCTAGTACTGCATAAAAACTAAGGACTTCAGCAGAGCTGTTAGCAGCTGAACACTTTGGAAAATCAGGCTGCTAGCTTCGGAGCTTGTCAGTGTTTTTAGAGACTTCACTTTCTTTTGAGGGTTTTAAAGAATTATGATCCAGATTGTCACAAAGTCTTTGTCCAAAAAATCTTTTGGGGTGGCTGTTTCTTGCCTCAGTTTTGAAACTCCTGGTTTAGTATCAATTCATATTTTGTCTAACCAGCAATGGAATTTTTTTCGCCATAAAAATACTCCAGTCACTGCCCATTCTACCACTGTGAATGCTCAGGTTGATGTAAAAAGAAATACTTTGAGAAAGGCTCCCCTTTTTGTTCTGTGAGCTCTCCAGCATTTTTCTCTCTTGTAATTTCAGGTCATGTGCAGGATGTGTTACTTATTATGGATGTATACAAACTAGCCTTAAATTTTAAGCTCTCTCGACTGGAACAGCTCTGCCTTCAATATATTGAAGCATCTGTAGATCTGCAGAATGTGCTCATTGTGTGTGAAAATGCTAACAAGCTTCAGCTGGATCAGCTAAAGGTAATCCCATTTTTGCATACAAAGTCACTGATAAGAAATTTTAAAAAATAAAATTTATGTACTTAATGTTTTGCAAAAGCTATCAGCTTTTGCAAATTCAATTCTTTCCTGTAATTATAGTTGCTTGAGTATATGTTAGTGTGGATTGTCCTGCAGTTGCTTGTGAATATTATGTAAGCTTTTTTCACTAGGTGTTTGATGTTTTTGCATATCTGCCCTGTAGGATGTGAAGGGCGGAGTGACTTTGACTCTTCCACAATTCTCTCTCTCTGCAGCAAAGTGGAACCAGTGCATTTTCTGGTCCCACTGTTTTATACAGACTGCAAACAGGTTCTTTCACCTGATCTGATGAAAAAACTAAATTCTGTTCTCGTGCCTTTGATCTGAAAAACATTCTGCTGAAAAACAAAATGACTCTGTGATTCTCCCTCTCTATGTAGTGGGTCAAGGGCTTTTAGGCATTTGCTGAAAGTCATGGTAGAGTCAATACCCCGAGGCTTCAGACCATGATTTGCTGTGATGGTCTGGTTCCCGCCAACAGTGGCCAGAGCCAATTCTGCTTAAAGCTGCAGAGAAGCAACTCCTCCACCCAAGTCCAACAGTCAGTGCAAGATCATGCAATACCTATTTGAGCAGCCTGTGTACATCAGTTGGCCATATAGCTGATGATTGCAAGCAGAGTGAGGCCAGAGAAACCAGTATGCACCAGCACTTCCTCAGGCACTCTTTATGGACTGGATTTGGGTGAGGGAGAGGCATCCAGGAGGACAGCAGTAGAGTCAGCAGCAAGTATGTAAATGCTGGCACAGCCTTTAGTGCACAGGACCATGATGCCATTCGCTGCCCAGAAGCTCAGGCAAGTATCTCAGCATTGGTGGATCTAATGCCAGTAATTTCAGATCAGCCAGCTACCTCCACCTGCCTTAGCTGCCAGCAGGGTGACAGGGGCTCTTCCACACGACTCTGTTTGGTCAGGATCGCCTTGAGTTGGCATCTTGTCTTTTCAAGTGCACGTTAGTCCTCACGGGTAGGTGCCATCTGCAGAAGGCTGCTCTTTCTGGCATTCTGGTCATTGTTTAAAACATTTTACAGATGGGTCTTCAACAGATCACTTTGGATCCCAGGTGAAATAACTTGGCAGAAAATGGACAGTAGTAATTATTCTTTGGGTGAATTTTGTATTCACCTTATGGTGAGCTGGTATAGATTACATTTTTTGCTTATTAAAGCATCCTAAGGGAATGCCTTGGTTCACACTGGCAAATGAAGTGCCATTTTTTGTCCCTTTAACTGTTCAGCATGAGGTCTGGTTCATTTGTCACCTTTCCACCACATTGATTTTTCTAGCGAGTTTGTCATACAAGAAGCTACAAGAGCTCTTTCAGACTGTTTGCAGCCTTTACAGAAAAAGTTAAGGCAAAATACACACAAGGAAATCATGCAAACTATTTATACCCTTAATGGATAGTGTTAAGAGTTAAGATCTCTTCATCCTTCTAATTAACTTTTGGTACCTAATTGTATAAAGTATTATTATGAGATAGCAACCAATCTTAGTTAGCTCCATGAGGTTTTCGACATCTCCTGAGATTCCTATTTTAGAAAGCTTCAGAGCAGCTAGATGGGAGACAATGAATCTTTTCCTTGTTATTATTTCTTAGTCAGGATTTTCTAGATGCTTAGAATTGCCCTGAATTTCCTGTTCAAGTAGGAGCCTAAATGGTCACTTAGTAAGGAGGTCATTGTTTGATAGTTCCAGCTGCAGGATCCGTGTGGAAGGTCGTAAGAAAAGGATGGCTGTTTACACGTGTAACATGGTAGCATTTATGTGATGCTGTAGGATGACTTCATACAGTAAAGCGTGGTTTTTTTATTAATATTGTTTGTTTGTTTTTTTTAAGGAACATTGCCTGAACTTTGTGGTGAAGGAATCGCATTTTAATCAGGTAATAATGATGAAGGAGTTTGAGCATCTTTCTTCATCCCTCATAGTGGAGATTGTACGGAGAAAACAGCAACCTCCTGTTCGAACACACTCCGATCAGCCGCTTGACATCGGTAACTTTTATGCTTTCTAAAGTAATTAGTTGTGCTGTTTTTGCATTGCTTATGGTTTACTCTAGGAAACAGTCTAGGAAGTAGACCACTGCAGACCACTGATTATCCAGTTGGTGTAACTGTGCTTAGGCTGTTTCCCAGACTAAGACAGGATGTGCCAGTTCTTTTTCCAGTAAGCTTCAATCAGAACAGTATCCCCATCAAAATACATGAAAGGTCGTGTTAAATATAATCGTGTTCTTCTTGCAATAAAATATCCTGATTCTGTTCAGAAAGAGATGAGGCAGAAGGAACAGAAGGGTATAAAGAATGATTCAAAGAACAGGCAGTGGACTTTCAGTTTAAGTGAACCAGAAGGTGACAAAGCTGAGTGGGGACTTGGCCTGCTCCTAGGTTTTAACCAAAGAGGAGCAGGAGTAAGGAAGAAGATCCCAAGAAAAAGAAAAGTTAATGGAAGAGAGGAACAGAAGATAGGGAGGAGAGGACTTTGAGAAGGTAAATAACCTGCACTAATGGTCATGCCTTTCATTTTCGTTCTGTGATTGTGCTGGAAGGAATGATTTGATTTGCAATTCTATTATGGAATTCATCAAGGACTGATTGGGACTAGAGTTACTCAAGATTTTATCATCCTGACACACAAAAAAAGGAATGTAATAATGAAATTTGCTGGGGCCACAAATTTCAGAGGTATTGCCAGTGTTGATTTGGAATACTGCACAAAAATACTTGGAAACTGGAGAGAAAGATGGGGAAGCTAGTCCTGGAAGGTCAAGTGGAAAGTCTTTCGCTGGCATTTGTCCCAGGGAGAAGAGAGATGCACCATCCAGGAAGATGGCATAGCTAGCTTCCGTATCCAGAGCTGGAATGGTGCAAGAGACTCAAATATCAAAAAATGGAAAGGTGCACTTAGAAAATATGGGTGAATTTGGATCAGACTTGAATGTGCTCTATTTCTCAGTTATTGTGTGTTTTCAAAGGTTAATTAAAATGTTGGATAAAAGAAGCCTTTATTGCAGATTTGGGAAAGCTTTTTCAATAGGAGAAAAACTTCTATATTCCTGGTGGTTGGAAATAATGAAAAGAAAAGGGTGGGGGAAAAAAAATATTTCTTTATCTATTAGAGAACACCTTTCGGTGTGGCCACTGCCTGTGTTTGCTGCCAGTAGTTTGAAAGCAGAGCTGCCAGGTTTGTTTCTGGGATGGGCAGTAGGTAATGGATTGTGATGAGGAAGGATGAAGCTCATTTTGCTCCAAGATTATGAGGAAAGGCCTGTCTCAAACTCACCCCAAGGGTCCCAAAGGAAATAGGGGCTGGAGCTATGGCTTGGCCATGCTTGATAGTACCTGGTCACCTGGAACTATCGTGTCTTTAACTATTTCATTACCTTAACTTTCAGGAACATCTTTAATTCAGGACATGAAGGCTTACCTAGAAGGAGCCGGGACTGAATTCTGTGATATCATCCTTCTCTTAGATGGCCACCCACGGCCAGCCCATAAGGCAATCCTAGCAGCCCGCTCCAGGTAAGTCGCTGTTTACTAAAACTGTAACAAATATTGTATGTGTAACATGCACTGCTGCGCAATCTGTGGGTCAGCTTGCTTTTTTTAGAAGACGGGGAGGAACTTTGTATCCGCATAAAGTGTAAGATGCAGCTTTGCTCAGTGAGTGTAATAAGCCTTTAAGCAACAGTGATTAAATTATTTTTTTTTCCAATTTGGTACCCAGCAGGGAAAGATAGGAGGAAATTAAAACTGTAGAGAGTCTCTAGAGGATGTGTAAGAAGCTGCACTGCAAAACAAAGAATCTGTAAAATCACAGGAAGGGAAAAAGGGTGTAAGACATAAGGTGGTTTCAGTGAAGTGGAAAGCAACAGATGTCCACTGAGGTCAGAAAGAGTCTTCTGATGGTGAACATCCATTTTGAATCATGTGAAACTTGAACTTCTTTCTCACTTGCTGATATTTAAGACTGGGTATGAATAAGCATAACAAAAAATAGTGCATAACAGAGACTAGGTTGTTCCCATACTTTGTTGCAGAGGCAAGTAGTTCACCCTTCTGAAGATGGGTACTATTCTCCCTCCTCAGTCTGTGGGTGAAGCGGGTTTGTCCTTCACTTGCGTGTTCTGTGTACCTGCACCTTTATGTTCTGCCAAACGTTAAGTGTTCACATAAAATTTCTATCAAATACTGTCACAATTTTTTTCCAGTGGCAGTAATAATATTCAGTATTAGTTACCGTGGTATTTTACCAGAGGCATTTCACAGCTCTTAAAACAACCCTGCATGATTGGCAGCCTGTAGATACCAAGGAAATTCATAATGCTTTAAGCTCTCTACTGGGTCTTATGCAAATTAGAGGAAAATCAAAGCACCATGTGTCCTCATTTTCAAGAAACAGAGACAAATTTCAGGTAGTGCTGATGGAAATTAGGGGGATTATATTTGGAGTTCTCTCACAGACAGACACATATGAAACAATAATTTAGCAGTGATTTTGCCTAGGTTGTCACCTGAATTTGCTCTTTGGAAACTGCAGTGCTTAATTTAATAGCAACCTTTCAACAATACTTGGTTAAACCATCTTGTCTGCGGAATGTGTTACATCAGTTTTATTTCCTTTTCCAGTTACTTTGAAGCCATGTTCCGTTCCTTCATGCCAGAAGATGGGCAAGTGAATATTTCTATAGGTGAAATGGTTCCCAGCAAGCAAGCGTTTGAATCTATGCTTAGATACATTTATTATGGAGAAGTAAACATGCCTCCTGAAGACTCCCTGTATCCTTAAATTGAAAGTAATTGAAGTATCTGTCTGAAACGCACATACGGCAGCTCACCTTCCTTTTGCTCTAGATTGCCAGGCACAACCTGGGAGGTTTATTTGTCAGCGTTTGCATTAACAGGCACTGCATTTGAACTGCTGTCATTGATTTGTATTTACAATCGGCGCTGTTAACCTTTACTTCATGTTTTTTTCCTTAATGAGATTAATAGCTACCTCTTTGCTGCACCTTACTATTATGGCTTCTCCAACAACAGACTACAAGCCTATTGTAAGCAGAATCTAGAAATGAATGTCACAGTGGAGAACGTACTCCAGGTAATTTAACTTAGATACAGGAAAGCCAAAGGGTCTCGTCAAGTGGGTACCCCCAGTGCCAGGTTCACTGAGTCGCTTCCAGACTGACATCCACTGAGACTGCACAAACCCTTCTCATGACAGTGACCCTGCATGGTTAACAAGTGTGTAGGAGTGCAGCCTTCAGCGGCTTTTGTTTCCTTGTCTGCTTTTTGTGTCACTAGTGCTCCTGTGCTGAAGTGTTTAGCTGATACAGTTCAACTGGCCAACAGGATGTTCCTCTCGAGCTCCTCATCCCCCATTGTAGACCAGTGTTTGTAAAGGTCTTTTTAAGATGTACCACGTGCTCAGCACTCAACTCGAAACCCTTTTTTGGTAGACATTTGTAGCAGGGCAAATGGCGATGTGCAGGTGACATTAGTCTTCTTTTATCAGTAATGCTGACAGGGTCTGGCAATGAAGTTTAAGGTAACAAAGAAATATTCTATGATAAGAAAGCCTACAATGCCATCTACTAGGTAGGCAGACAGAACCCTCCGCAACATGAGCAGAATCAATTCCAGCGTTAACTGATTTTGGCTCTTGCCAGTCTCACTGGGGCACTTCAGGAACCGGGCTCTGAAACAGTCTGCTGATTATCTCCTGAGGACTCCATACATTTTAAATCCAAGGCTTATTTTTGAATAGTTCAGAAAAGATTCAGGTTTGTAATGAGAAATGGAGATGTTTCCCTAACTCAGAAGAATTATCCCCTCTGAGTCAGAACAGTGTTTGTGAACTGTACATCTGAGCTATGCAGAAGGAAAATCACATCTTTGCTTTTGCTCTAGATTTTAGAGGCAGCTGACAAGACCCAGGCCCTGGACATGAAGAGGCACTGCCTGCACATCATCGTTCACCAGTTCACCAAGGTTGGTTGCATCTTTTCTGGGGCTTTTGAGAGCTGCTGTCCTCTGTCGCTGCGTTGGTTAAAGATACATTAATATAGGAATCCATTTCATTCTTTCTCATGTGAGACAGCTGAGAGCTGGCTGCATATTACGGACACTCACTGACAAGTCTGCTAGGCATACTTTTCACACCAAAAATAAATGACCTAGTCTGGAAATGTGAAGACCTTCCAAAACAGAAGTTATCCAGAATTGCTTCCATTTCTACTTGTTCCAGCTGGTAATCTTGTGCCATGCCATCGTTGGGTTCTCATGTGTATAGCAAGATAAGTTTGTTATGTATTGAGGGCACAAATCCCTCTCTCACTAGCGGTTACGAGTGTGCTGCTTATATTTCTCTTGAAGTATTCTCTGTCATAGCTGTTATATTGTCATGTGCTCAAAAGGCAAATTACCATGTCCTGGCTGGGTTGTCTGTAGTTTCCATGTTTTGGTATGTGGGATGTTGCATTAGTGACAGGAAAGATCAAGAGCCTGATGTGCTGATACTCCTGTCCTGACTCGAGAGAATAAGGGTATTGTCATTTAGTTGTTCCTATGAGATAGGATCCCTCCGTGAGAGTTTCCCAGCATGTCACCGGTTCATTGCACACCTTACTAGCATTGTTGAAATTGGTAGATAAATCATAGGAATTTGAATTTCTGGATGCTACGGACTTACTGATAATAATTCCGTAGTTAGTATCCAGGTAGCTCGCTCTCTTCTTTATATTTAAACTCACAATCCTCCTGCTGCTCCCCCTGGGGAAGGGAAGCACTGCTAAGTCCAGTTTGTATCTAGAGATGAGACAGAGGGAGGTATTCAGTCTCTTTATTAAATGCCTAAGTTGCCCAAGAGTAATGCATTTTGCATTCAGAAATAACTGAAAATGCATAAAAAGCTTTGAGAGTGGAGCCAGCGTCCAGGAATCACACTCCCAGTGGAAAGTCCCCAGCATGAGGTTACAGCCCCTGCCTTCATCTTAGGTATTTTCTTCTGGCCTCCTGAATCCTGCAGAGCGGCCCAACTTCAGCAGG